TCTCCACCAGTTTCCCGAACCTTCGATTCAGGAAGTGATGGACTGCCGTCCTGTGCTCCTTATTGTCATCAGGTCCAAACGTATAGGACGAACCTCTCACTTTGGCATCTATAAACCTGAAAAAGTCCTCAGCCTCATCCTCCTTAACAAGCTGGGAGAGCTCTCTGTAGTCTGGGTCCTCCCTCACCCTGATCTCAGGCTGAATGGTGACAGTCATGAGAAAAGGGAAGCGGTGTCTGACAGCTCGGTGGACGCTGGCTCTCTGGTGTTTGTCAGCAAAGGAACCAAGGGAAAGCTCCAGCTCAGGTGGATTTTTATCTCTGAGAGTTAACACAAACTGCTCGAGCTCCTCACTGACCGACTGACCTAAAATCACACCTAAATCTAAACTCCCTAGACTAGGGAGTGGGTCGTGTACCCCCCAATCCAGAGGGACATCAGCATCCTGTGAGGCTGAAGAATGACTGTCCTCTTTATATTCTGCATTGGTTCTGTCATTTCCAACTGAAGAGGCACAGCCCGGTGTCTGTGTGGCTGCTGCTGTGTTAACATGCTGTCCATAGATATCTATTTCAGTCACCACAAAATCCTCAATGAAGTTTTTGATGCTTCCAAGAAAGCCTTCATGGTTTGATATGAAGCATGCAGGAACATTCACAGCCTCACTAACCTGCTTCATGATCAATATATCTAAAAAGAGATGTTTTTACTTACTCCTGAGGGTAAAAGAGGCAGAAATAAAACGTTATCAAAACCTGCTTCAATGTAACTGAAGACACATGTCATACCGTGTCATTGTTATAAAGCAAAATTCAATGAAAATGAGGACAATTTCAAAATGAGAGGATACATGCAAATCGGGAAACGTTAAAAACGTACGGCAGTAATGTTTTTTTGCTTACTTGAGATTTTTACAACATCTGTAACACACCTGTGCGAAATACGAAGAGATGCTAATACATGACAAACGAGATTTGAGTCGGATTTTAAGCCTGCTAGTGTCGCCGCACACCATTAAAAATAATGGCAGAATTCTATCGGCGATTTATTTCCGTGTAAGTTATTTTACTGAGAGCAAAGCAATCCGTCTATTTCGAGTAAACCTAAATCCTTCACATAAACCTACCTCGACATTGATAGCAGAGAGCTGTGGCTGCTATACAAAAGAAAGCAGGTTACGTTACTATTCTTTGAATGATAATATAAACGTCTAAAGGATTAATTATCGTAAATTAACGGTTTATTTACAGCACAAACCTGCAGGCGCCAAGTAAACAACACGCCTGTAAACACAACCACGCTGAATGACTTCGGTATTCTTCCGGGTCATGTGACCATCATATGACTTTTCTTAAAGAGACAGGCAGGTAAGGGCAACGCAGAACCCAGATGTGGACCCCTAGTAGGAGGGTTATGAGCAGATGGTTCTGACCTCTGGGCCATATTTGAAACCTTAGAGACATGAATGATCAACATACACAAAAATGTTTATTTATAAGTGCAACATACATTTATTCTTATTCTTATTAACATTCTTGCTTAGGGGGAAGTTTTGTTTTTTTTTGTTCAGTAAACATCATTTTTTAGAGAATTTTTACACGTGGTTTAATGACGTAAGTAAGGGTTCGTCACTCGAGTAACATCCTTTTTTTAGTGTTTGAATGAGTCCTGTCACTGTGGCTTCACTAAAAATAAAATAGTCAGTTCATCAGCCACCAAAAAAAAACAACTTTGAAATACCATGAGAAAACCTAGAGAGCTGTTGGTCCACACCAGTTTAAAAAATTAAATGGAACTCTTGCTTCGTGAAGGAACTATTAAGAAATGTGAGGCAATTGTGTGGCAACATTAGAGCCTTTGGAACAACTAGTTGGGTGTATTCCTGCCAGGTCATGCATCCAGTAAGGATCCAAAATCAAATATTCACTCTTACCAAGAAACACTTGGTAGCTCAGTACAATAACATCAGTACAAGACAGATATTATTACACATCAGTCTATCTGCACATGTTTTAGAGAGAGAGAGAGAGAGAGACCCCCTTCGGTCCTGAATGCATATTTCTTTAAGGGGGGTATTACTTACAACTAAGGATGCCCTCATAAAGTGTTATCTGTCTGAAAAGTCAGTCAGTGATTTAGGTGTGCTTTTCTGTAAAGATTCACATGGCTGTATAGGAATCCTTCATTATGTTTCAGGGTGAGCTGCTGAGTAGCCACAGTGCAAATGTTCCTTATAAAGATGAAAGATTCCAAAAACAATGGTGACATTGGGAGAATCACTCTGTCTTCTCATAAATGCAAAATTCAAAATACAGAACTACTTCAGTGATGGATTTCAGAAGATCAGAATCTTATTTCAACATGTTGTAAGACTGACAAGGTCTTGTGTTCATTCATAAGCATATACAGATCTTATTAATAACATATGCAAAACCTGTATTGTTTAAACTTTTTTAAGCTACTTTCAGCTGCTCCCTTGTTAGAAGGGGACATCACAGCGGGTAGCTCCACATGTTTGACTTGGCAGCATTTTTACCCCAGATGCCCTTCTTCATGCAGTCCTCCCTTCTCTATCCAGACTTGTAACAGTCATTATACTAGCTCGTGTACTCCTAGCTGGAATTTGTGTTTCTGGCTTGACTCAAACTAACAACTTTTCACTGGCAAAGTGAATGAGTAAACCACATCATGTATGCAATAGAAAAAATAATAATAACTAGACATTCAGTGTAACCCTAATTTTAAAAAGGCAAAGGAATTTTTTTTCTTTCAAAATTTACACCAAAGGAATAAAAGGGTGCACTATTTTGGGGGTTTTGACCCTTTGTACTTTTCCACCCACCAATATCCTCTGTTCAGTAGAATGGCTCTGTGCCTTTCCGTCACACAGTTTGAATGTGTGCCAAAGATGTTTTGAATGTGTACTGGAAACACTGGACAGAAAAATCTTACGATAAGGGTCCATACTCTTGCCAGCAGAGTGTGATGAGCGTGTTGATTATACTCTCCAGATGTTTCTGTAGTCCATCAGGAAATATTTTCCTCTGGAATGAGCCTCTGTGAGAAAGAATGTAGTGATTAATAACATTGCAGCAGTGCACATAATGTGTGTGGGTGAAATTGTGTGAGTTGCATAGACATATGGTGTGACTGTGTGTTTGTACATGCACGCAGGACTCCAGTGAGGGGGTCATGTGACAGAGTTTCTAACAATCTGTTCTTCCGAGACACCAGCAGACAAAAAGGCTTTTATTGAGGAGGACTGTGCCGAGCTGTCACAGAGGCGCACAAAGAGGAAAACAAGGATCTGATGCAACTCCCCAATGTTAATTTTACATTCTTCTGTGTGATCTCTCTTCCTGTCAGTCCCCTCCCATCTTTGTTATTGTCAAGTTTGTCAAGCTTTTCCTCTTCTTTTCAATGGAAAATATTAGGATACGCTACCAATCCTTTTCTCTCTCTCTGTCTCTTTTTTTTTAAAGTCCCCCCGCAAAACATGCAAATACATCTGCAAAATAAACAGGAAATGGTTTTGACTCAATTTGTCAATAACAGTTGTAGATATCAAAACAATATTTTGAAACCCTTTGACTCAGTTTGTTAACAAGTTTGTTTACATTCTTTTTTAATATTTTTAAATGTCTATGTTCAAAAGTTCAAATGTTACTATATATATATATATATATATATATATATATATATATATATATCCTCTTCTGTACAGGCTGTACAGTGTTTATCAGCGCATTTTCTGTGTTCACCCAATGCTGTAACTCTGCAGCTTAATGTATCTTGACTTATCAGTCACTTACAGCTGTGGGCTCAGCACATTTTGACAGTTAGATGAACTATTTAGCATATTCTGTGATGACTTGTGCAATGAAATGTTGCAGATATGTTACTGAAAGTTAAGGTAAGTAAATAAAGTTTATTTAAAAAGCACTGTGTACAGAGAATCAGTCACAAAATGCTATACAGCAAAATAGAGGAAAATAAAGAAAATGAAGTGCTGAAGTAGGGGGAAAAAACCCAAAACAAAACATATTGAAGCAGAATGAAGTCATTTAACAGATTAAAAATACTACATTAACTGTCTTTTCATCACAGATAGACAATTCTGTATATGATCATTAATGCACCTAATGCTCTCTGCTTTGTAAATGTCATTAGAGAATTGAGCTGAAGCCACTGTCATTGCCACTTCTGTGTTTTGCTGTATGTGTGAGCTACTTTGGAAAATGCACTTCCTATATCAAGAACTTGTTGCAGGAAACATGTCAGACAAAGTAAAAAAAAACAAACAAACAAACAAAACAAAAAACCCACACACTCCCACTCCATTTGCGGTCATATTTCCCAAGTACATCACATATAGCTAATTTTGATCTCATGTGGGCCAGACGGGTGCATCTCCCTTTTCTGTCAGTGTAGAGAAATTCAACTACAGATTTAATCAATGAGAGATCTTAATATAAGAAAAAGAAGCACAACGTCAATGGTTTTCAATGGGAATGCCCATAGAGGGAGTCTTTATCTGTTGGAAAAGCTGTAAAACTAATTAAAATACATTTCAAAATTTATGTCCTCTTTCACATTTTCCAAAACTTGACACTCCTGTTAATATGACACCCCATCCATGTATGATCGTGTGTTTTTCGTGCTCATAAATATTGATCATATTGGTAATAAATATGTTACTTAGCAGTCACGTGAGTTTAGGGATTAAAGTCAATTGCATCATATTTAAATTTTGTGGCTTCTACGTTATTAGGGGACCGAAATAAATTATGTTGCAAATTTAAACACAGATTTGCAAATGAATAGTGTTTTTTATTTCGTATTAAGGTTAACAAAACACTCTATTTTGCAAAAAATAAATAAGAATTTTCTTCAATGATTTCATGTTTCAGGCTTTAAATTAACAGGGTTTAGCAACTTCATGAGCTGGAGAATAAGACTCCACCCACCCACATTCTCACCATTATTTCCAGGTGGGGAGCGCAGTCTAGCGGGGAGGGACTTTAACGGGTCTCGCTTCTTTAAAAGTAGATTTATTTCTTTACGGGCACACAAACTATCACTTTTGAGGGACACAGTCACTCGTGGAGCGACACCAGAAGACCCAAACATGGGAAGAGCGAATGTGTGGCTGAAACGGACTTTCATTGTCGTGATAAGTCTGATCGCGGTGAGTATGGTTACGAAGGGCTAAAAGATTGTTTAGGTGCAGATGTTGAGACCCTCCTCGTGCTATGCGTAAAAATCTACATTATCCAGGTGCTGCAGTTAAACCCTTTTCAGTTTTACTCAATCGAGTTGCCAATGAAGGTTGTAGGAGGCCCTTTTTTAAATTTTTGTTTTATTTATTCGAAACACATTGGAATAATTAGCGAGACGGGAAAACAACAGTGTCCAGGAAACGGTAAGATTGTTAAATAACAATTAAATTAGGGGCTGTATTAAACAATTACGTGTACTATAATGCTTGTAGTCTTATGTGATGTCATCATTGGTTTTCCTTTTTTTTTTAAATATGAAAACAAACAGCGCATAATGTTTCCAAAAATCCAAAATGTGATGTCATAAATTCCTTGTTTGTTTGTTAAATGAAGAGGAAAAAACAGAACAAAAACAGGAGTGACAAACGTACGGTGCAAATGTGGCCCACTCTTGCCACATAGTCAGCAACATGACATTGATGACTGTAGAAAACAGACTATGTGCCAGCATCGCCATCTTGGCACAACATCTGGGACCCACCAAACCTGATTAAGTGGCAGGTGATGCTCAGGTTTCCCCAACCTATTAACTCCCTCTTCTCCTTCTCCCACCTTATTCTTCTCATCATTCCCACAGTTGAGGGGAAGTGCACAGTTGAGGGGAAGTGGATTATGCAACATGTTTTTCCCGCTAATACAGCTTGTCCCTCATGGTTTAGCTGTCACTATGTGTCTCATCACTTGCTTTGTATTTACTGATTTACAGTGGTTTACCAACGCATGATTTAGCCCAGAGCTGTTACAAAAGAAACACATTGTGCAATACTTCACTAAGATTAGCACGAGCCTATAAGAGCTGATGCCAAACGTCAAAAGGGTAAACAAATGTACAGGGTGAGCTACTTATCAGATTAACATAACAGTGTAAAGCTGGATTAACTTCTTCAGTAGTTATACTCTTCATTGTAGTTATTAGTCAACACATTCTTGAAATTCAAATGATTCTATTTAACAAATATTGTTGGGTTTAACAGATGTCAGCACTTTCTTTAAACCAAACCATAGTCCAAGAACCAAGATGGTTCAGAAGTACATCCCACCAAGTGTACTTTGATTGTCTCAGATCTGCGCTTTGGGTCAATGGTTTTGCTGGAAAGTAGCATAATTATCAAGTTTCATTTCATGCCCCGAGCTCATTATGTAGATGCCATAATGAGCATCTACATAATGAGCTCTTAGGCTTCCAGTTCTTGTAACAACATAAGTCAATTATGGATCAATACTCAAGGGGTGGATTAAGTATCTTGCTGGTATTTAGGCGTTACCCCTGTTAAGTGAGAGATCTTATAAATGGACTTGTTCATACCAGTTCCAGCTCCCAGGCTATCTTTTTTTCCTTGCATATTTTGGGGGAAAATGCAGACATCACAATAGTTAGGAACAGTTCTATGACCTTATTTGAAGAAATGCTAAAACTTTACTTGAAGACATGCAAGCACAAGCACAGTCATGGTAAAAACCAGGTGTACCCTCTATTTGTTGTGTGCAAAAAAAGGAGCAGCTAATTTGAAGTAATTGTTTCATGTATGACTTTATCAGGTTGTCACCCTCCTTTAGGAGATTACTATCTTAGTCTGCCACAGCATTTCAAATGAGTTCAGATATCGACTTTGATGGGGCATTTACAACACCTTCATTCTTTGTTTTTGAAGTCGTTCTGTTGAATGAACGTCCTGTTTCACGACCCTGTTTTGGCCAAGTGTTAACATTCAGACGTGTCCTCAAATTTGACTGCAGAATATTTTGAGATAAAGAAGAGTTCATGACTGACTGACAAACTGTACAGTGTCCAGGTCCTGCCTTTACAAAATAAGCCCAAATCATCACCCTTCCATTACCGTGCTTGACAGTGGATATGTTTGTGCTGAGTTTGCTGTAGTGTGGCATTGTGTATTATGGCCATATAGCTCCACTTTGGTCTTGTCGGTCCAAAAAGACATTGTTCCAGAAGTCTTATGGTTTGGTCAGATGCAAACGTACAAACCTAAGCTGTGCTGGCATGTTCTTGTTAGAGAGAAGAGGCTTTTCTCCTGACATCCCTTCCATTTTCTGAACGTGCTGTCATGAACCTGAACATCAAACTGAACCGTGTAGCATCTGATATTTAGCTCCTGTATTTGTGTGTTGCAAGGCCAGACCCTGGATTGAATTCCTTAGACGTCCACTCCTTCTCTCTGTAGAACAAATGGACTAAAATAGTTTGGAAGTGATCGTATAAGCATTACCAGACTAATGAGCACCAGCAATCACATAGCTGATGTCTTTCCACTTTGACATATTGATTCCTGTGTAAGCAGTAAGAGTGGACTTAGTTTCCCACAAAGTGCTTCTGCATTTTTTTCTTCATTTGTGTGTAATATGTCATGTTTTGCAGTTCATCTGATACAACAATGCTTACGTCAGTGTTGTTAAGTTCACAAAAGCTTATGTACCACGTTACAGTTTGCTAACCAACATATTGAGTGTTTGAAAAAAGGGTTTTGTATAGGGGGTTTAGTAATCATTACATCTTTTTACTACAAAAAAATATCTTTTTTCTAGCTTATGTTTTTATATTTTCATTATTATTTTGATCAGGTGTAACATAACCTATTCAAGATCATTAATGTAAAGCATAGTAAATGTTTAAATATTTAAATGCCTATTATTTAATTCTAATAAGCAGAATTAATACTTTCATTTGTACACAATTTGTTTTTGGATGAGGAGAAGTCATTGATGACTTTCGGTAACCTTAGCGTTTCTCCCTCTGCCTGTTACAGCCCTGAAAGTGTTGAACTGTCTCTTACTGTTTTTACAGATAATCAGTTTGTTGCTGCTGGGATTCAGTCTTTTTAGCCATGGACACTTACACCAACAGGAAGAGGTATAAAATGTATATTTATAGAACCTTGCATTATGACACATGAATGTGTGTGCGATTTAACAATGTCATATTATATGTACGACAACACATATATAGCTCATGTTTCTCAGCAGCAATTTCTATATTAGTGGCAAAATAGGTAAGCAAATATTATGCAGCCGTTGTCAGACAAATGCCAGCGTGTACGTGTTTTCTTTTCCTGTAGTATTCTTAATGACATCATCATTTGACATCTGCATGGGGCACTGAAGTCAGGTTACACCCTTGCTCACTCTCAACCTGCGTCTTTGTTTTTTCTCCACAGGCAGAACACGAGATTGCAGTCATACATGTTATGTATGTTATTGCTGCGGTAATTATTCTCTTGACCATCTTTGGCGCAATCGGTGTCTGGAAAGAGATACGGTGGGCTCTAATAGTGGTGGGTAAAGAAAAAAAGAAGACAAGAATCTTGGTAGCTGTAATAAAATACAATTTATAACAAAAACAAATGGATCCTTATTTCTGTGTGTGTGTGTTTCTGTTTGTCAGTATGCAGTTGGAATTATTCTGAGTAGTCTACTCATGTTGGTGCTTAATATTCAAGGACTGGCTTCACAATCTCAGGTATTACCAAAGTGCCTTTCCACATTAGAAGATACAGAAATGTTTTTTAACTGTTTGTATATTACTTTGCTTTTGTTGCGCAGGAACGTCAAGATGTGAAGAAGCACTACCTGAGCCTTTTACCCCTGGTTAATGCTACTGAATTCCTCGATGATATACAGACAGAAGTAGGTAACCTTGTGTTGTGAAGTTGTGAGTGAAGATGTGCATGTGTTTGTAGTGTGTGTGTGTGTGTGTGTGTGTGTGTTTGTGTGTGCTATTCATCTAGCTTCATAACCCATTAATGAGTAAATGAATTTAAGGTTTTTCAGATAACAAAATTTTGCAGTGTCAATTTGAGGCTTCATATTGCCAGCTTATACTGAAAATTACTTGCAGCCAGTAGTGTAAACACGGCACAAGGAAATATTAGCCGATGAGGTCATAGAGATGTTTGTGAGCAACGATAATGGATAGCCCGTGCCAGTTTTTGTAAGTATAATCTTGTAGAATTGCAGTTCCAAGTAGTTTCCGAGGTGATCAAACAAAACTAACTAAAAACAGAGCTCACATATAATATGTAAGGCTAATGGCATAACTAAACAATGCTGATACACAACTTAACTGGATGCTAGGCATATGCTCTTCTTATAATATTAGCAACTTAAAACAAAAGAAAGATAACACTCATAAATTTCTTGTTTGTGACAGACATATTTTTCCAAAAGTACAACCAGACTGTCCTGGCATGACTGATACAGTTTTCAGCAGCACAGATCAGATGCTGTTTGGTCAGACGTAACTGTTTGTAGAAGGGATTAGGAGATGGTTGTTTTGCAGTTGTCTCTTTATTTTCTTCTCTGACTTCCATCTCAGTTGGAGTGTTGCGGACTGGAGAGCTACCGGGACTGGAAGTTCAACATCCCAAATTCCTGCCTATGCACCGACAAGTCCACTAATCCATGTGTAAGTGTGAAAGCTAACATGCCTACACGGTTAAAAACATTTTTCAATAAATTTTCATTTACAAAGCCCAACTTCCTCCCAAAGTAGCACCACCAGGCTCCTTTGTGCTACAGTAACACTTGGGAAAAGAGTGGTTGGAGACTGTGGTGCAACCAAACCATTTGCAGACGGTAAAGCAACTTTAGTGCATCAAGTCAGCGATAAAACGTCATTAAGATTTTGACTCAGTGGGGTCAAGCTGGCATTTGTGATAATATGTCAATTAACTATTACTAACTTTGCCGCGTTAATGCGGTAATGGCGTTAACATCATTTTATCGAGATTAACGCTGACAGCACTAAAATAAACACATTGCAGAGGAGTCGTGCCCATCATGCAGTCTCATTTCGATTGTTTGCAGCATGTTGGCAGTCTGTCTGCATTAAAAATAAGACACCAGTTATTTGCAAATATGCTTGAAAATGACTGCAGTCAGTTAAAAAAGCATGTTTTAAAAACTTTGACACACAAATATCATCACATTTTAAAAACTACACGTTGTCTGGGTGTGCATACACTTCATGCACAATTATAATTTCTGTGTTTTCCAGGTGGCGGCTCCTAGAAACAGCAGCCTCTTTAACAGCCAGAACGGTGACGAGCCTATTATGATTTATGAAAAGGTATTAAAGGCATTCTCATTAGAAATGATCTTTTTTTTTCAAGTACAGGTACATGTGTAAACTCTATAAGCTGTTATGAACTTTGTTTCCATTTACATCGGTTTATCTCATTAATCCTTTACTTGTTTTAGGGATGCCTTCCATACTTCATCGAGGTCATAATGAGACTGATCAGGATTGTGTTGGGCGTAACACTGGGAGTCATGTTTTTGTGGGTGAGTACAATCAGTCTGTGGCTCTCATGGTTATAGCTCCTTTGATGTGATCTTTACAAAGCGTGCATGGCTGTTGACAGAAATGTTACAGGAGTTTTGCTTAGGTGATCCCATTTGTACAAAGTCTTAATTTTTCCCTTAAAATTCGTCTTTCACTAATATTTTCAGTCATAGGGTTTCAAAAACTCTTTTCCATCCTGAAATCTTCCTATACAGTTGCTAACTACAGTTTTGAAAACTGAATGAAAGCGAGCATCTGTTTTTGCTGCGCTGGCAAACTTGCCTTTTTATTTTCTTTGACTATTCTGCTCTCTCTCAGCCTCTTTCTAAAATTGCAGGTGGACTCTAAGCAACTCAAGAAATAATAAAAAGATGAACAGGAAGTAAAATAAACCACCTCTGTTTGATTCTGTTTTAGATATTGTCAGCAGTATTGTGTATAGCCATCTTGTGCCAGCTCGATCGGAAGAAAGACACCCCTGCAGTGGTCTACAGTGCAGAGGCAAAAGCAGGCAACTACACCACCCTCACAGAGGTTTCAGACCACTCCTGATTTCCTTGTTTCTGATTCAGCATGTTAAGCAAAGCTAAGGCAAACCTCGGAAGCAATGGGATTAATAGAAGACGTTATGATGATTGGATATATTGACTATATCATACCATGCAAGTGTATTTTGAACTTCTTTGTTAAGGGTATTTCCTATTCACTATGTAATCCCTAATGAGCTGTAAATTTGGGCTGTGCCACAAAAAACAGAACTGTGAAAGACTATGTTCCTTTTTTGATAAATATTTCTATCCAGTATAACCAAGAGGGATATGATAACTGACAGAGTGTGTTAACTGCTTTGCGCCTTTGAGCTCTGTGTTTAGAGACTGGTGGTAATTCTGCACCAACATGGAGTGTAATCTAGTACCTCTGATCTGTGATTTTTAGCACCGGCAAGCAAGAAACTAAGTAAAAATTCAGAGTTTAAAGCTAATGTGTTCAGCAAAAAAAGCACTTATGAATAGTATGGGTGGATTAAAGCTTAACTGATATTTTGTAGTTTGGTAGCTTTTCATTTTTCTTTAACTCTGACTTTTTTTTTCCATTCAAAGCTTTTTAATACGCTCATATTTGATAAGACTGTGGCTCAGTATAAAGTGCCTTTTTTTTTCATTGCTCCGTATTTAGATCAGCTGCTAAAGAAAAAAAAAAATCCTTCAATCCAGTTTCCTTCCTTAGCCTTGCTGTGGCACATCCCACATCCTTCATCCACTGCATACATGGTAAATGGCCTGTATTTGTATAGCGCTTTACTAGTCCCTAAGGACCCCAAAGCGCTAATAAATGAAAGGACAAAAGGAAAATATACAGCTTACACCTCTAACTGTGTAAACCACAGTTATGTATTGATTCTTGTTCCCCAGGTTTGTGGGAACATTTTAGAAAACTTCGAAAGACTGTTTTTCATTGTGTAATAAAACATTTTATATTCCCTTCATATAGCTTGGTTTTGTTTTGTTTTGTAAACTTAAATTTGACATGAAATCAAGTGAAATGATGAAACCAGTAATGATTTATCAAGTTATGCAACCATTAGGTTACAAGCCCACTTCTTAATGGCTACAGCTTCCATAAACTAACAATACTAATTACTAAATAACTAATTAAGTAAAATGATCACTCAATTTTGACCTGTTCCACAGGATTTTTTTAAAAGACATTTTAGATGAATTCTAATTGTAAAAATGATTGATATGATGGCACTGATTAAACTAAAAAAGTCTCTACACTATTTTTTTTAAAAAGCCCCCTCTCGTGTTTCACATGTCTTTGTGTGTTTGTTGCAACACATATGTTTTATATATCTTAAGAAAACCTTTTGTAGTGACGATTCCATTGTTTGTCCAAACAAACATTCAACAATTTAAAATCCACAAGCCACTGCTGCACTGTGGTGATATCTTACACACAGGCAAAAAAAAAGTCCAATGTCCAAAACGTGAACGTTGCGTTTTATGGTTAATTTATTGAGTTTGGCAAGCAATAAACAAAAATCAGTTTTTACTGTTTCCTGTTGCTTCTGCTCTCGTAAAAAAGAAATAGGTCCACCCCAGTGCATGCTGGTCCTATACTAGTCCTAGTACTTACAGAAAATGGCCCTACAGTTCATCCTGGCTGACTTACAAAGATAAACAAATTTCAAAATAATAAAAATAAAGAATAAATGGCTCCAACACTCTGGCCCCTAATTGTGCATACAATCACAGTTACTTCAAAATCCTTAAAAAAAGGAGCTATTCCCTCCGGCATGTCCTTAATCTTCATTGATGATGTTACTTCTTCAAGACGATGCTTCCAGTAGCAAAAGAAGTTTTGCCACTGGCCTTTCCAAAACACAGGTCTCTGTAGCATCTGCAATCAACACAATATCTCCAGGTATAAGACATCTTTTAGTCCCCTGCTATTTTTGTCTTTCTTGCATCAGAGGTATGTCTTTAGAAAGCCATCTTTTCCAGAACAGCTTTGCCATGTACTGTACCAATTTCCACCTTTTCCTAGCATGAAGATCACGTTGATCAAACACTCCTGGTGGCAAAATTGGTTTGTTTATCAGCAGCAACAAATAATTGGGTGCGAGTGCTTCAAGATCATTGAGTCATTGCAAACTCTGGTAAAGGGTCTGTTGTTCAATATAGCTTCAGCTTCACAGAGGACTGTTTGGAGGCCTTCATCTTCCAAAGCTTGTTTTTTGAGAACTGAGACTAAAACACTCCTTATGGAATGAATGAGACGCTCCCACACATCACTTTGGTGAGATGCTGCCAGGACATTAAAGTTCCCTTTGATGCCATCCTGAATAAAAGCGTTTTGAATTTTAGCATGGTTCAGCTCAGCCAAGCTCTCTTTCAGCTCTCAATTTGCACCAACAAAATTTTTAGCATTATCAGATCTGATGGACAAAACTGGGCCTTGTCTACAGATGAACCTCCAGACAGCATTTGTACAGCAGTCTTAACTGAGTGTTTATGCAATTTCCAGATGTACTGCACTAAGAGACTTTGTCATTATAGGCCCAAAGTAGACCACTCCAACATTTGTGAACGGAGCCGTGTCTGGCAGGACTCCCTCTGCGCCATCTTTTGTTCAACAAACTTTCCTTTGTTGCATCTACACATGATACAACGAGATTATTTTCTTGGCAGCCGAATTTGCATTCACCATCCAGTCTTTTTCTCTTAGTTTTGACAGGACGTACGCTCTTCCTGCATGTGCCAACTTTTGACGGATATGCCTTAAATCAATGTTAACACATTTATTCCCCTGCATCCAATGCTGGGTCGAGCTTGTAGGGAGAACTTCCCTTGGAGACTGCTTTGACGCCATTACTTATTAAAGCCATTTCAGTATTACATTTCTGTTGTTGTGCATGCTGAATAACAGCTTGTTCTGCTTTGGCCAAACCTTCTTGAGTCAGATTTTCTTTCTTCGGGGTGGTCTTAAGTTTTTCCCATTCTTGTTTCCATTTCTTTCTTTTGACTTTCCAGATCATTTTCATTCAGATCTGCAGCAACAAACTCTTTCCTCTTTTGTCCCAGCAACACCAAGGTCTCTTTCAGCTTTAAAACCAGGCTACTGAGATTTTAA